TTCAACTCCCAGAATTCCCATGCTGGCTGGGGAATTCTGGGAGTTGAAGTCCACACCTCTTGAAGTTCCCCAGGTTGAGAAACTCTGTAGTATAGGTAGTCAGCGTCCACAACTGGGACCAGCAACTCCATTGCTAATTCTACTGCCGCCCTCTCCTTTGACTCTGCTTGTCGCAAGCCGGTTGCGAAGCACACAAATGGTGGTCATGTGACCGCAGGATGCTGCGACAGTCATAAATGCGAGGACTGGTTGTAACGTTACTTTCTCAGCGCCGTTGTAACTTCAAACAGTTTCTAAATGAGGCCGTTGGTAATGAGGACTATCTGTATGTGAGACGGGCAGCTCTCATCTGTATTTGAATAAAAAACAAAATAAAATTAAATAAATAAAATAAAATCGGGGGGAACTGGTAGTCAACCATATGGATTTCCTTGGGTGGGGGATCCTAAAGGACTTGGTAACAAGTGCCCTCTGTCAGCTGTGGTTTGGATAAAGATAAGGTGGAAGTTGAGTCCTGGTGAGATTCCTGTCTTGGCAACAATATGGAAGTTATCACCCTGGGATCTCCTGGTGGTCCCCCATCCAAGGTCTATTGAGCCGTCACCTCACTTAGCATTTTTTAAGACCAGCCAATGTCAGCTAGGTGCTGCTGTCTGCTGTGACATAAACAGTAAAGTCTCCTTGAAATCATGTTCGAATCCTGGTTGTCGGCAAGAAGACAAAAGTGGTTCATAATAGCTTTCTTCTGGGATTTTTTTTTTCAATTTCCAAGCGTAGCCTACAGCTGTGGATCTCCTGGTGGCCTCCTATCCAAGGACTACCCAGATCTGACCTTCCTTAACTTTTTTTGAGGTCAGCCAAGGTGGGTTAAGAGCTGCCACGAGGCAACTTCGCCAAAGAGAACTGCAAAAGGCAGAGAGATTCCCCCACGTCCCCCACTGTGGATTTTCTGCACAGATAGTAAGAATCAAAGCTTGAAGTTGGAAGGGGTCTGCAAAAGGACATCTAGTCCAACCCCTGCTGCTGCAGGAAACATCTACTGGGGCATGCCTGTCCTGTCATTGGGACCCACCCCTCTGGGTCCTGCCCGAGACAACGTCCCTCGTTTCAAACATTTCATGCGCAGTCTTGCGTGGCCGCGTAGCCGCTTGCCACCTGAACCCTACGGGCTCCTCTTCCCCGAGTCTCACCCCACTCCCGTTTTCTTCAACTTGGCACAGAGCAGCACGTCCGTAAAGAGGAAAACGTGGCGCAGCTTGCGAGAGCCCTCGGCCACCTCCACCAAGAAGCCATCTTTGACCAGCTGACGGGTCTGCAAAGAAGGAAGAACGGGTCAAAATCCAAAATTCCACAAATGCACAGCACTTTTCAAATTGGACAGGACAGGGCCTGTTCAGGATGGCACACTCAAAGGCTACGGACAACTGGTACAGGCAGTCCTCGATTTATGACCACAATTGGGACCGGAACTTCCATTGCTAAGCAGTGTGGTCGTTAAGTGAGTCACGCCTGATTTATGACCTTTTTTGCCACGGTCATTAAGCAAATCTAGCTTCCCCCATTGACTCTGCTTGTTGGAAGCCGGCTGGGAAGGTCGCAAATGGCAATCACGTGACCCCAGGGCGTTGCAACCATCATAAATACATGCCAGTTACCAAGTGCCCAAATTTTGATCACGTGACTGTGGGGACACTACGACGGTTGTAAGTGCAAGGACCAGTTGTAAGTCACTTTTTTCAGTGCTGTTGTAACTTTGAACGATTGTTAAACAAACAGTTGTAAGTCGAGGACTATCTGTATATGTGAAAGCTAATCTTGGGTTGAAAGATAACCCTGCCCTGCCCTGCCCTGCCCTGCCCTGCCCTGCCCTGCCCTGCCCACAGATTTAATTCTGGGTAGAGTCAGAAAAAGGCACTGTTCCTTATTCTGCAGCATCCAAGAGGGCACAGGGAAAAAATACGCAGCCTCTGCTTCCAAAACAGTCCGAAGCAAAAAGAGCAGGGCTCTGCCCCTGAGAGGTTGCTTCAGGCATCAAACTGATTTACTCAAAAATAATACACAGGCTTGGAATCACACAACAGGGAGAAACCGTGCCTCCTCCTTCCCAAGGCACAGCGTTCATCTCAATCATTACAACTGGTTTCTTGACTCCAATGGAGCCTCCAGGCACAGAGGCAGTGTATCTTGAATGCCAGCAGTATCCACAGCAGGAGGAGCCTCCTTGGCTCGCAGGCCACTGCTGGAACCCCCAACTGGTCTAGAGAGAATGTCAGTCTTTTTCTGGGGTCCCCCCAATGCCGTGGGTCTGGCATCGCCCGAGCCGAACCGCCCACTTGCCTCTCCTTTGGGCGTGGTGACGGCCGTTCTGCGGGGATCAATGTCCTCATTGATGCTGGAGAGGAAGTTCTGGGAAATCCGAAGGGCGTCCTGGAGCAGCGGGTAGTCGGGGTGGTCTGAGGGCGTGTGCTTCAGCAGATCCTGGACCCCAAAAGAGCATTTTTGGAAACCAAACAGGACCCCAAAGCCAGCTTCCCAGCGCGACCCCGTCCTAAAAGATCACCCAAATCTCTCCCAAATTGGAACAGCACATCGCGCTGACCATTCTCCATTAGTCTAAAAAAAGGAGTGCCCCGTTTTCGCAAGGAGCCACCGAGCAGCTTAGCTTTCCCCCAGCTGATCTAGCAGGAGTCCAGCTCCCAGAATTCTCTGGGGCCAGCTTGGCAGGGCCTTCTGGGATTTCAAGGCCCCAACCCAGTGGAGGGGCTTTGGCTGCAAAAGAGCTGCCTGAGGTCATCTGCCCAATTCCACCTCCCCATCTGCAAAATCGGGGTAACAAACTTTTCAAGGGTGTTTTAAGGACTCTCTTCCCGAAATTCTCTGCCGAGCCTTCGGCTTCCCAAACGTCTCCCTCTGTTCCCAAGGAGGACAAGGGAGCAGACTCAATGTTTGCAAAAATAGCCCCCCGCAAAAAGAAAATAAGGGGATAGATCAGTGTTTCTCAAACTTGGCAAGTTGAAGATGTGCGGACTTCAACTCCCAGAATTCCCCAGCCGCACATCTTCAACTTCCCAAGTTTGAGAAACACTGGGATAGATGCTAAAGAACCCACTGTGCGGACTTCAACTCCCAGAATTCCCCAGCCGCACATCTTCAACTTCCCAAGTTTGAGAAAC